ACACTGCCAGGATCCCAAACAGGTCCAAAATGCAGCCCTGTTTCTTAGTGGTAATGGGGCTTGGGTGCAGCTGCCCTGCAGGGTCACGTACCATGTACTGCGCTGTGACTGGGGAAGGTTTGACGAGGAGTGGAGGTGAAGACTCTTCCCCAGCAGCCCTGTGACCAGCGAGGTGACGATGGGACACATCATCCCACCAGGAATGACCACAGCCACTGTCACCTGGAGAAAGAGCAAAGGGATAACTCCAATGGCAGCAGGGGCCTTTCTACCTGTCCATGGTCTTCTTTTGGCAGCAGTGGGTTGGGGCTGGGGGACCCAAGTGGCCGAGGGAGAGCCACGGCAGCCCATGCTACCAAGGTCACCCCGGCTCAGCAGCAGGAGCCCAAGACAAACAGTAAAATCCAAGTTAGCCATGACGACTGCACGCAGCTCAGCCTCGGGGAAGGAATAACCTTGCCAACTATTTAAACCCTCCCTTCCTCATCCCCTTATCAAGTGCCTATTAAAAATAAATAACCAAAGGGACAAACCACGGCTGTTGCCAATATGGAGTGACGTTCAGGCTTCCGAGTTGCGGCGTCTGTGTCACGCAGCTGACGTGGGATGAGTGACCATGGGCGTGCTCGGCGACGGGCTTATGGGGGGAAAGAGCCTGCCCTGGCTTCACTGTAGACCATGTACCCCAGTCGCCCTGGTGGCTGCACATACCACAGGGGTCCCATCCTCTTCTCAGGCTCCAGGGTTTGGGGACAAGCAGCTCCAGATTGGCCCTGGGGTTCAGTGCAAGGTTTGGGAGCTGCTGTGGGACAAAGCAAGAACAGTCTCACAATGTAAATAATGATTATATTATCATGTATAATAGAGATATTGCAAATAATTGAAATATTTATAGGCGATAACACATTATATATAATATGTATTTGTGTATAAAACATATTGCAAGAATAAAGAGCATTTTTTAATTATATATTATATGTTTAATAGAGTGGTTATATTTGTATATGGTTGTAATACTTAATAGCCATTCACTTTATGTAGGTTTACATTTGCATGTGTGTGTACAGCATCATATTTACACAAACACACGTGCACAGCTCCATACAGGAGGCAGCACCTTCCCTTCCTTTGAGCTTTGCCAGCGTCCAAGGTGGCTCAGCAGCTGATGGCGACCCAGCCCCTTCCCTGTGCTGTGGCTATTTCACGGTACGGAGCCGCCAGCCCCATTCCTGGTGGCCTACATGAAGATGTTGAGCTTCTCCTTCCAGTGGAGCAAAACTGGGCTTCAGCGATAGGGAGGTTTCCTTCCAGAGCTTGCTGTGCACCACAGATTGGGTTGTTTACCAGCGGGAGGATTAAATAGACTTCCATTGAAGGGAAAAAAAAATATGCAAGTGTTTTCAAGTATGCCTTGGAAGCAGTGTCTCGCTTGAAGGAGGCTTTTCAGACTTGCTTGTGTTTGCTGGCTGGCACTTCACTTGTCCCTGGTAAGGATGCTGCATCACACACAAAGCAGAGTTTCTGGAAAAATACTGCATTAGGATGGAGGCAGTGAGGAGAGGGAGGGAGGAAATAAATGCTTTGACTATTCCTGAAAACAACCCCCTGCTCCCGTCTCTCTCCACAGCTGGTGACAGCGCCTTCTGCAAGGGGAGCCTTCAACAGGCATCTCACAGCACTTGATGGGATGCCCACAGCAGGCACTGAGCCCATGGGGCCGGTCAGCAGCCAAGGAGCTCTCCTCTCTCCCTTCCTCCTTTTGAAGGAATTTGCTTATTTGGGCGGTGTGAGGAACCATCACAAATAGAAGTCGCTGTCAGCTCACACGGAGGTGCTGGTGACAATAACTGGGTGGCACAGCCCTGGCAAATGACATAGCAATGACATGGGCACAGTGGCAAGGAGTTCCTGCTGGGTTAGATTAAAGCCAGAAATCACTCTGTAATGTCCACACCTCGGCTGGCTCTGCTACCCACGCAGGTTTGCTCTGAGGCCATGTGAATTCTGTGAAGCAAAAGGGAGCAGAGCAAACCCCTCCCCAAATCTCCTCCCATCAATACACCACCAAAGGGAGCGTAAAACCAGGTAGAGCCTGCTATGATGTACTGAAAGCTCTTGAAAGCTGAGGATCTTGCAGGCATTTAAATACCAAATCCCTGCTTTTAAAGGGAGGGAAGGAGGAGGAGGCCTGGCTCCCTGGAAGGGCTCGGGGTGCTTTTTTGGAGGAGCAGGTTCAGATGGAGTTAGAGGAACACGGAGCCAAGCCGTGCTCCAGGGTTACATATAACCCTCGTTAGTAAAGTCCCCTTCTCATTTGCACAGGGAATGAAAGAAAAGGAGGAAAGAGGAGTAAACAGGCTGAACAGCCAAATAACTAGCCTTTAGCTGCCCTTAAAAAAAAGAAAAGGAAAAAAAAATCCGCTTTTATTGAAATCATTTCCTTTGTTTATATCATTTCTCTTGAGGCTGGAAGCAATTTTCAGTCTGAAGTGCATTCCCTGCACTAAGTGCACGGGCACGAGGCTGACGCTTGGCTGCCCACCAAGAGGTGCCCTGGGGAACAGCCCGTCTGTAATGTCCCCCCATCAGCTCATCGTCCCCACGCAGCCTGTGAAGGGGGAACCTCCAAGCCCGGCGTGGGCAAGGGGCAGCACAGGGCACCCCGGCCCAGCTGGGTCCCACAAGTAGGACACAGATGGCATCCATTACGGGTTCGCATCCACGGCCTCTGTCAACAGCGACAACCAGAACACGCAAAGCTCTGCCCAGAAATACCCCCCAAAAATACCCCAGCTGCACGTTGGGCACTGGGAATTGGTGCTAGAGGAAGGTGACTGGAGTCCCTTGTGGTCTGCACCAGCCACAGGCTCCAGTTTAGGGCATTTGGGGGACTGGAGGGAACAGGAGCAAAGCTGTGCTGTGGAGTTTCATGTGCCTGGACCCTGCAAAGGGGTGGGGTGTCCTCAGCAGCGTTGCCTCAGGACCAGCCTTACCCGATAGATGCCAGCAGCAAAAGCAGGAAGGTCTGGAGAGGACCTCTCCAAGGCAGCAGGGACAGGCAGCAAAGAGGAGCAAAGACGGCGTGGTGACTGGAGGAGTGATTTGCCAGGACTGCTCAAGCCGGCCCCAAATCGGAGCTAATAAGGGTTTACAAAATAAAAAGCTAAGCTCGTTATTCAAAGATATATATGCACGTATCTCCTAATGCAGCAACACCTCAAACTGGGCCTGGCAATCAGCCGCTGCTGCTGCAGTGCTCACACGTGGGTGCTCGGGGTGTCAGCAGAGCTGACAGAGCACAGCCCTCGGCCAGAGATAAAGCAGCGAGGCCCGAAGCGGGGGGACTGTGTGCCTCGAATGCCGAAATCTCCCCCACTGTGAAGCTGGTGTGTGCACGCTCTCCAGCTCAGTCAGCGTTGGGTAATTTATCCTTTGTAACAAATAAAAAGGGGGCTCGGAGACGGGGGAGGCAACAGTGATTTTTTTGCAGGAAGTGCTTTTCCCCTGTGCCTCGCAGCCCAGAGCTGAGCAGCTCAGCTCTTCCTGTGAGGGACCTTCAGCCACATGTTGAGCCCATTTGCAGCAGCTCTGCGAGACCAGCAGCACCGAGAGCAAAGAAATACAGGCCAAGGTCAGTAGGTACACAACACAGCTCAAATTTGAGCGTTCTTAAACTCGCCAGCTCTGAAAGTGGCGGGTCCTTGAACAAGGGAACTTTGTCTGCTAGCAGATGGGGGGACCTTAACACCCCCTTTCCCTGCTCTAACAGGTACATAGGCAGATTATTATTAAACTTGGCATTTTTCAAAGGTTTGACCACCTCCTCAACTCCTGACTTCGGGCATCTTGTTACCTGGAGGACCCTCCTGCTTCTTCCATTTCAGCCCCAAAAGCCTCCCTGACACGTTCCTGGTAGCCCAAGATAGCCACCGTGGAGCGAGGACCCCAGAAGTCATTTGCCAAATCCTCGTGCCAAATCCTCACCCGGCCCAACACGGTCCTTGGGCACAAATGAAGATTCCAGGCTCATCGCAGAGCAACTGTTCATGAGCGGATGGCAACCGTGGGAGAGCGAATGGGCTTTAACTGTGACCTGAAACAAGGGGGCTGCAAAAGGCTGCTCTTACTTAGGAAACACTGCTTTTCCTGAAGCCCTATTAAAATGGTGCTGTTCAAACAGATGAGAAAGAAGCAAGCAAACTTACCTGACAAGTTTGAACTAGAAACAGGCAGAGCCATGGCAAGAAAAAAACAACCCCCAAACCCACAGCATGACCTTTTCTCTTTTTTTTTAACCACTTTATTTGTGTGTGTTTCTATAAACATTTTAACTACCGGGCATTTCATAAACCGTAAAAACAAACCTTCCGACCCCCAAAATGCAACCAATCCAGTTTGTTGGTCAGACAACAGCGATGCTGCCAGCGCGGGTAGGTGGCATCCCTAGATAACATCCTGTGCGGCAGGGCCAGTGAGGAGCTCGCTGCCTCAGATCCTGAGTGTCTGAGCGACGGAGGAGAAGTTTACAGACCTGGTGGCTGTCCTCCTCTGGGGGTGTGACAGGAGAGAAAAGGGGGGCAAATAAAGAATTTCTCTTGATGGAAAGTCAGTGCCCAGCAGAGGTATTGCTACATCCACATGCAGGATCGGATGCAGTGGCCTCAGCGGGCTCCTGAGGGGCCTCTTGGGCTGTGTTGGTGCTAGGGACTGAAATGGAGCAAAATGCTCATTTGTTACAAACAGCCTAAATGCTCCTTAACACCTCGTTTGCTGGGCACGTGTGTGAGCAGCAGGCGCTGCGTGGAACCGGTTTGCTCATTGCAAGAGCACAAGTCTGTAGGTGCCGATTCCTCAGGACGGATGAGCCCAGCTGTAAGGCACAGTGGGCCATCAGGGGAGGCCCAATCCAGCTGGGTGACCCAGCGCTCATCACCAAGTACCTCGTTGTCCCAGAGAAAAGCATTGTGCCACATGAGTGATGTGGAGCAGCGCATGGTCTCTCAGTTCCCCAGGTTCATGTCTGCACCATGGACGAGCCAAACCAGGCGGAAACAGGCAGCCAGGAATCCGGTCCCCAGGAGATCCCCCAGGGCGGTGAGGTAGGGGATGGAGAAATTATCGGGATCCAGCGCCTTCCTCCACATCAGGCGCACGATGAGGTCAGCCACGTAGAGCAGGATTCCCACCTGCAGAGAGGCAAGAGAGGCCCAGTGGTGAGGCAGCAAAAGGTGATGCACACCCTCAGGACAAAACCACGTGGCCATCGCCGAGGTACCAGAGCTAACACTGACCACTGGGAATCAACACCTTCCCCAGGAAACTGCTGTTTCCCTGTGGGATGGAGCTGTGCTGGGATGGGTGTAGCTGGGCCACACCAAAAGCATCTCCCAAAGGTACGGTTCCCACTTCCACACCATGAATGGGAGCGCTCCCATTCACTCCAGCAGAAACAGGGGTGCTGCGAATACGCAGGCAGCCCCAAAGGATAAGTTTGTAGCCAGGTTGGTTTTTTTTCTTCATCCTTCTTCTTTTTCCATTAGAAATTCAGATCGTGTCTACTTTGTTTTGCCTAAAAATCTCAGTGGACAACTGGAGTCTGAGGCGGTTTTTACATCAAAGTTATCCCAAGCAACACTGACATGTTAAAAAATGAAAATAATTTCTTTTTTTTTTAATCTCAACAGTTTTAAAATCTTTGTTGTGATTTCTTTTAATGCCTATTTCATTCCCAGTTCTGATAAACAGATGGAGGAAAAAAAATACTTCAGTTAAAGATTAAAGACCGTCTAGTTAATTGAATTAAGACGGGAGAGAGAGTTTGCACCCCACATCTGTGGTCCCTCCATGGGAGACCGGTGCACAACAGGAACCAAAGACGGAGGCGGCATTTCTAAAGGTGAAAACTGGTGCAAGCTGGGTGGGGGAGGAAAGATACGGGAAGCAAATGGAGTAACAGAATCACAGAAACTAAAGCCGGATGGAAACTCAAGGCTTTTATATAGACCATTTCTCTGCCCCAATACAGAAACAAATAGGCCCACGTATTTCCTGATGGTCATGTGTTTAACCTTAGCTAAACACCATTCGGAGATGGAGATGCCACACTCGAAGCAAGCAGTCCCATGGCTTTTTTTTCCTGTCCTTGTTTTTCCTGAGGTCTAACATAAATCTGCCCTTTTCCATTTGAAACCCAGGATTTCATGTTTCATCCTTAGTGACCACAGAAATAAAAAATGTTATTCATTCCCTCCCTACAGAAACCTGGTAGTTTAAAGGCTGTTAAGGAGATTTTTCTCAAGCCTCTCGTCTTTGGACTGGCTAACCCCAGACCATTCAATTGTTCCTCCGAGGTCATGTTTTCCAGGCCTCTGATCTTTCTCTGTGGGCTTCCTCCAGCTGACCCAAACTTCCCCCTCTCTTCCTTTCTGTCATTCTTTATAAAGTATAATGCAGGGGAAGAAAGAACCAAGCTAAGCGTATTCTCCTGCGCTACGCTCCGTGGGAATCTTTCGGGGTCAGCGGCGTTGCTGGGATTCTGCTCTTTACGCTGTCACTTATTCTGCGTATTTTCATGCTTGGCTCTGGTTGAGGAGTTACCTCGGCGGATAAGGAGAAGAATAAATATTTTCCTTTACAACAGAGGCTGTGCTGCTGGGCTTAGGGTTGTGCAAAGGTCGAGAAAAACCGATTGTTTGCACATGCGAGGAATTCACCCGCAGACACAAGGTTGCTTGTAAGGCAAAGTGAGAAGTCAGCTACCTCACCCTGCAAATTAATGAATCACTGATTTAAAAGGCCAAGTGAAGTCAGAGCCTCTGAGGGTTTAAGCAACGGCCGCGTGCATTTCTGAGCGAGGTGACAAAGTTTACAGGGCGGGAAAAACGGTGAAAAGGAAGAGGCAGAACAATTGGGATGAACTGCCCATTGCCTACCCAGAGCTTGTACATCTGCAGATTAACTTCTCAGGCCTGGATTCTCACAGGCTTTGGACCCTTTTGGCCATATCCCCGTCCAGAGGGATCCCTTGGTCTTCACCATATGTGAAACTAGTTTCCAAAATGAATGGGGAAATCTGCTGGCTGGGGTTCACAGCCTCTCACTTGCCACTTAACCCGTGGCAGTTGATAAATACTTGGGGCTTAGAGACTCAAGGACTGACCGCAGTAAAACAAGGCACCATTATACAGCAAGAGGTACCTCCTGGCTATGTGTGTGTCTGCTCACTTACTGCAGCTCAGTGGATGATGACAACTTGTTCCTCATCTCATGTCTGACCCCTCACTTGCCCTTACGAGCAGCCATGCTCATGTGGGAAACCAGACCCTGGCAATTTGGGTGAAGTATTAGTAGAACCACTACAGAACCATTAGAAGGTATGTGATGCTTGGTAGGAAGCACACCTGAAATAACTGGAAATGCGGGCTGCTGCTGGATGTTTTACCATGACTCCTGTTTAGCCTGGAAACTGTTTTATTTTCACAGTGTCTGAGAGGTTCATTTTGGATGAGAGGTTAGGGTTTACCTGCAGCAAAGCAGCAGTCAGATAGAACATCACAAAGGTGAACGACAGAGACGTGTGGCCTCCCTGGAGCAAATGGATGGTGTAGAGGAATACAAGGTGCCCTGGGATAACCAGGAGGAACAGGACTCGGGCTGACTTGGAGTTCACCTCTGCGGAGGACAGAGACAGAAAGAGCAATGACAGCATCTGCAGACGGTGGAGGGGACAGGATGCAGTTGTGTATTTTAATGCTGGAACATAGACTTGGGGCTGTCCCCTCCCACCAGCCACATTGCAACGCCTTTTCTAGATCACAGAGCAATCTGGAGCAGCGGCAGTACTGGCCCAGCAGCTTTGTCTAGCACTGACAGCATGTGCTGAAGACGTGCTCCATGCAGATCCAGTTCGCTTCTTCCCAACACTGCTCTCAGCTGCTCTCTGCCTCCCACTGCTTCTGCTCTGCCTCGCTGCAACTCCTTTCCCAGTTTTCAGTTTGCTCTAGCAGTACCTCCCCAACCTCGCATGGAAAATCAAGGGGAACTTGCAATTTAAAAAGACAACACACCCAAATCCAGTTTTGCTGATGCTTAAATTTATCCATTGCTGAAGAAGCAGGAATTGCTGATTTTCAGCAAGGCTGTGTTCTAATCACCCCTCTGGCCACAGGTGATAGCTCTAGGCTGGCCATGTTTAACATGACTTTCCATTACATCAAATCTGAGATTCTTTCTCAATTACTTTCTTTAGTGCTCCCTGAAGGCCAATTTCTTTGCATGTCAGTGAACAAGTATTGTTTTTTGTTTGTTTTCAAGCTGCCCACTGCAAAGATGCTCCCTCTCCATTCTAAGTATATTCCCTGCAAGGGGGCAAGGGAGTTCTGCCTTTGAAACCCACCTAGTCCTTCGCCAAGCAGGCTTGATAAAGGAGCTATCTGTGATGACACGCCTTGAGACACGGACACCTAGGGTTCAAGGTCTACCTGATGAGAAGAATGTGGTGCATGGGTTGGGCCAATGCTGCCTCATCTTGTATGGCAAAACTCCAGGCATGCTCCAAAAGTGCAGGAATGTGGAAATACGGCTGGCCTGGATAGCGACCAGGTTCCCTCCAACACCTACGAGGACAAAACACAGTAAAGCTGTAAATCACCTTCACTGCAGCAGGAAACATCGGTCTAAACCCTCGCCCAAGGTGAGTTGATCTGCATTCGCTTACACGCTCCCCGAGAACAGCAGTGAAACAGAAAACCTGATCCCACATGTCATGGTGATGCGGTGCTATCGCTTGGCAGGAACAGCTCTTAAAAATCAGGAAGGCTCCAGTGATCGTCATCTCCTGCCTGCTTTATTGGAAACGTTTTCCCTTGCTTCCCAGCACCAGCTGTAAATGCCACACGGCCTCTAAAGGTGATGCCATTGCACCCGGTTTGACGCAGGCTGTGAGCATCACCTGGGGAAAGCAGCGCAGGCAACGGCAGCTGCTGCTCACGGCCACTGCTTGGATTTACTCACCCTGAGAGCCGTTATTGTTGAAAAGACAACAAACGTCACAAAGAGTGATTATACGTCTGTCTGAAGGCATCGAACACACTCGTTGAATGAGAAGGCATCATATGAGAATGAATCAGAGACCAAATATGTTAGGTAATTAAAAGGCAATTAATTCCTTCCAGACTGATTAATTCTTGCAAACATGAAAAAGCTGCTATGTTTTCTAGCAGAGAACAGAGGGATGATGATCTGTGGGGCAAACCTCCACCACCCTGAGCATTTGCAGGGTAGAAATGCCACAGAACAGATAATGGTTGAGCCAGATCCTACAGGCTTCTGGTGATGTCTTCCCTTCCTTGAGGAAGGAAAAGCTCCATCATTACATGTGAGATTTGCCGAGCAGAATCAAAGTGAAAATACCAAGACTAGCTCGACATAGCTCAAGATGGGATGTTTCTGAATCATGCGTTGCCACACTTTGCTGGACTCCCTTGCACAAGCAAAGTGAAGAGCCACCCGTGCAAAGACCCGGAGCACGCATCACTCTGCCGCCAGCTCTGCCAGACACCTCGTCCGCCCCCACAGAGCCATGTCTGGGTCAATCGTTGTTCCACCCAACTGCTGCTGATATGCTTTCCTCATCAGGCTCATTGGCCAACCATGCTGGAAAGAGTTTGTCAGCGAGATGGCTGCCTTCACGCAGATCCAGTAAGGTGACAGCTGGGTGACACCCCCTGACGCTGCAAGAGGACATCGTGCTTTGAGGGTGGCATGAGCCTGCCCTAGGTACCTGGGCTTCCCCTGGAATGGGCCTGGGCTGCAAGGACATTACAATAATAGAAAAATAACCCATGGGATCCTCAGTGATGTCAGGATTCCCAGCAGTTTGTACTGGTTTGTGTCTGTATAAAAGGACTGCGAGGCTTCAGAGACATATAAATATACACACAAAAGGTGTTGACATACACACACACATATATATTAAAAATCCCTACATATAATATACATATGTATTTTTATACGTACATACACATATATAATCTTAATATATTCATCTTCATCAGCAATCTGTATAAGGGATGATGACACAGCTCAAATTGCTGAGTGGAGAGAGACAGGGAAAATGGATTTATTGTGACACCCTTTGTAGGTTTGGTGTTACGAAAGCAAAGGTGTCAAGGCTGCTCTCACAGACAGCTATCAGATGCTGTTAACCTTTCCCACAGCCCTGACAGTATTTTTCAGCCCTGCCTGTTATTTTGCTCCAGAGACACTTCAAGATATGAGTAAGCAGGGACGTAAAGGGGACCAGGAGCTCCACTTACACTCTTGATGAGAGCAGGGACTTCAGCACAGATGTCTGTGTAGGGGCAATAGTGGATACCATAACCCTTGGGGAGGAGGGGGAGGTATAAATAAAAGCATGCATATAACCCCTCTGCCTCACCTACCATTAATCACAGGTGTGAAAACTGCCATGCCTTCAAAGTTGGGGTCAGTTACAGTCTTGTCCAAGATGAGCCCACCAATGCTGTTAAAAAAGGACAGGAATGAGGCTGGATCAATCTCTCTTCCCAGAGCAATTCCTATACTGTGAAAATAGCCCACTGAGGTGAGTTACTGCTTCTTGTCCCCTGCCAGGGCTGGACTATTCCCCATTTACTCCTTTTAAAGCTCAGTTTTCATCAAGAGATGGCCTTCCAGTTTTTGTTAATGGCCTAATCGCTATCTCACAGCCTGTTGGAGGATCACCAGTGACTGTGAGGCATTGAACAAACACCCTTCTGCTGTCCCTTCCAGTTTTTGATGGGTTTCTACATGACCACGGGGTCTCTCTGCAGCGCGCATTCGCACGTGGGCTCCGGAGCCGTTCCTCAGTTTACCTGCTGATGCTCATGGCAACGATGACTGGCTGCCATCCAGACTTCAGGACCTCAGCAAGGGAAGGACTCTGCTTGGCGATCGCAACCCAGAGAGGGATCATGACAATGAAGACGGCACAGATCAGAGGAGAAAGGTATTTCATATCTGGCAAGGAAAATAAATCTTGAATTAAATGCCCCTGCACTCACAGGTTGCCAAAATCATGCCACATAAAGGCTGGAAGGAAGGCAGAGAGGCTTTCGCTCCAACTGAGTTACGTTAGCAGAAAAATCACATAAACCAAGATATTCCCCACACAACCACTTCATTCCACCACAGAAATCCGTAATTAACCCCTGAAACTCACTGCTAGGGGATGTTATTTGAAAATCAGCAGGATTCAAAGCAAGTTATATACTGAAGACAAGAAAGTCTCCAATTCCGTCTCTGACAAAGCAAGACAAAAAGTTACACATTTCTGGCTTCAGGGTACAAATCAAACAGCAGGGCAAGGGGGAAACTCCCGTGTGCAGGCTGTAGCACACAGCAGACACCTCGCGCCTTCACCTAAAACAAGAGGTAAGAGGTGATTCTGGTGGCAAGCGAGCAGAATTGCTGAGCAGCTGGTCTGCTCTATAGGAACAAATGCTCCTTCACACATGTAAGCCAGTTAAGATCCAGGGTTTCTTTCCTGCTTACACGTGTTTCCATTAAGTGCTTTTTCCACTCTGTAGGGGCATAACCTTGAAGTGACCTTTAGAAGCAAAAGAATTTAAAAAAAATAAGTATCTGCGCAGCACTAAAAGAAAACATGACTCAGAAGCATGAGAAACACCTTCAAGCAACGGGGATGATGCCAACCCTTTTGATAGAAAAATGCTTCTTCAACACAGCACTCCATCTGGTCTCTGCGTCGGGGCCAAAGCCAGCAGGCCGTAACGCAAGACTTTGCAGGTAATCCGGGAGATGAAGCAGGCCCAAAGTGGGCATTTTTCAAAATGACACTGCCAGGGCCTTGGGCTACCTGGATGAGATAGCACCGATGTGATGATGTCTTCTGTGAATGCAGGGCTCTTACACAAAAAGCTGCACTCTTTACGTGTGGCTTCAGTCGGCACTGAAATACAACCACTTCTGGGGTGTAAACAGCCGCTGTTTTGTCAGGGCACTTTACCACCCGGAGTCACTTCAGGCAGCTGGGTTTTATGACAACCTTAGCGGCTGTACTGGAGCTCCTACCTCCGCTCCTTGTTGTTTCAGGCAAATAATCCCTTCTCAAATAATGCCGACATGAGTACTGGAGTCTATCAAACCTTATCAAACCCCACAAGACTCCCGGTAGGATGAACGGACTTCGGTCTCTGCATTCCCATTCTGCCACATCCTCTCCCATACAGCCCATAAGCAAGCTGAAACTCCTTGGCACAGCTGGTATCTCCTCTATGCGTGACTGGGAAAGACCAGGGTTGATTTTTAAAAAAACTGAAAATCTTCATTGGCAAAAGGTTGTTCCACATAAGGAGGTGGTGCTGCATCAGACAGCATATGGGACATCAAACTTCACAGGCTCACCGATAGTTTTGAAAGATACATTCTGGTAGGTCTCAGAAGTTGTCACAGCGTGACCTGTCCCTTAATACACCCTGGGAAATGGATTTATTCACCCGTGATCAACAGTGCTTTCCTCCTACCCGCTTCACTTCACGCTCCCAATGACTGGGTGTCTGCATGCTGAGTATTTCCCATCTCAGGAGGCTATTTAAACTGCTCTGAAAACATCACAAATGCTCTCTGGTCACAACCACAGAGGTTATGTTGTTCTGCCATGTGTTTCCTGGGAGATAGTATCAGAGGAATAACGACTGAAAGACAAACTGGCTTTACAGAGGCAGCTCTGACGGCGTCATGGAAAAAGCCTATTAAAAAAATGTACCTCAGGCTCAAGGAGGACTGGACAGAAGCAATTCCTGGGCCTGTCCCTGCAACATGTGCTCCTCTGCTCCCTCACTTGCTGCCATATGGGACAAGTTATGCAAACTGCAAACAGCTGCCTCACTGCCTCTGCTCACAGGCTGAAGCAACAGTTTGGGTTTGAAATGGTACTGAGTTTGCTGGATCTTTTTTAATTTCCCCGTTTCTATTCTAGGTTGGGCTCACAGTAAATAGCCCAGCACTTTACAAGCAATAGTCAGGCATATATCACCAAGCTGTGACATCTTTTGAGCTCTTCAGTGTCACCAGGTGCCCCAGTCTTTGCCAACCAGCAGCACAGGTAACCCCAGAGCCACGACTCCTACTCAGTCCTGTGAGGATAAAGCAATGAAGCACTGCCTCCCTTCTTTCAAAACTGTATCTTGTTCATCCACGACTCTCCACAAAAGAAGACACAAGAATATTTTACAGAGGCCAAACCCCTGAAACAGCTTTGTGAAGAAGGACCTGCTGTTACCCATGCACAGAGCGTAGTTATGCTTGGCTAGCGACAGATGCAGGAGCAGTGTCAGTGTCACATGCCAACCTTCTGTTCCAAAGCTATGCAGTACATGTTGGTTGTTTCTTTCACAAATCCCAGTTGTGTTTCCTAGGCTCTGCCTTCCCATTTACTATTAAAACAGGGTGTGGAAAAAGCCTCTTTGGCCATTTCTCTACCCCAGTGGCATGACAGCCTCCAGTCTGAAGTATCTCAGAAATGGATCAGCACCCTGCTATAATTTCACAAGGATTCATCCCTCCCTTGCTGAGCTGCAAATCCCTGCTGAA